TTATGGTAATTAGGCAAGTTATTGTATAATGATGGTTTGTTCTGTAGACTATCAAGAAAAAATAGCTTAGAGGGGCTAATAATTTACTTGCTAAAATGTTTTATAAAAAATTAAAAACTGCTTTTATTCTAGCCGAAATAAAACAAATAAGACTTTCTTCAGAAAAAAAAAATATTATCAGACATACTGTGAAAATTTTCTTCCTCTGTTAAACATAATTTTGGAAATATAAAAAAAAAGAAAAAAATTCAAAGGGGGGCTAATAATTCTGACTCCAACTGTATATACCCCCCACCCCCCATTTATTTCCCCCCCAATTTCTGTTTAACGGAAAGAAGATAGCTGATTTATTATATCTTCTACATAATGACAGTAAATAATATTTTACTAGATAGTTTTCAAAACACTTCTGTGCAGCTTAAAGTGACATTTAAAGACTTAACTAGGTTAATTCAGTTAACTAGGTTAAGTTATTGTACTATTGTTGTATTGTATTATTGTACAGGGAATGTTATTGTATTGTTGTGCACTGTATAGAAAACAACTTGATCATCCCAGTTTACCCAAATTAACGAAATATTCCCAAATAGAGCTATTCAAATCATGTAGTGAAATTAAATTCATATCGCATTATATATTACAAAAAACAAAATATTAAAATGTCCGATTTGTCCAATGTAGTGCAGCCTTACTAGAGAGACACTGAAGGAAAGGAAATCATTTTAAATGTGAATTCTTTGTGATTGTTAAAACATTCTACTGGCCAGTATATTCCAGTTATAAACAGTAACATTTGTAATCTTAGAATTAGTGTAAATAAACTATAGTATAGACTTATAAGACTTTTTATCTACATTTTAGAAATATTTGAAGAAACAAAAGGATGTTTAACAGAGCAAGGAATTTTTCACAGAATTTTCTTTTATATTTTTTCTTCTGGAAAAAGTCTTATTTGTTATATTTTGGCAAGATAAAGACCAGTTTTTAACTTTTTTTTTTTATAACCATTTTGACCAATATTATTAGCAATATTTTTTTAATTTCTACAGATCAAACCATCATATACAATGACTTGCCTAGTTACCCTAACTTTCCTAATTAACCTAGTTAAGGCTTTAAAATGCACTTGAAACTGAATACCAGTATCTTAAAAAATATCTAGTGAAATATTATTTACTGTCATCATGGCAAAGATTAAAGAAACAAGTGAATAGAAATGAGTTATTAAAACTATTATGTTTAGAAATGTGTTGGGGAAAATATTAGTGTTAAACAGAAATTGGGGGAAAAATATAACTACTAATAGTCTACTAGGAGGGCTAATAATTCTGATTTCAACTGTATATAACTAATAAAACTAGCAGTTATCATTAAACTGGGGAAAATGTGTTTATTATAATATATAATGATGTTTTATACAGGTATATCAACACATTTAGTGCTTATTTAAAGCATTTTCTTTCTCATCACGCAGAAATAATGTTCAACAGCAATGGCTACTTACAACACGCTGCAGGATCGTATCAGAGTGGCTAAGGAGCTGCTTGAGCGAGTGGATAAAATCTGTAGCCGCCAAGGCCGAGAGGTCGAAGGACGTGCAAAACTGTGCAGTAAACTCCGCGCTGAGCTCAAGTTCCTGCAGAAGGTGGAGGCCGGCAAGGTCGTGATCAAGGAATCGCACCTTCAAAGCACAAATCTCACTCATCTGAAGGCCATTGTTGAGTCTGCCGAGAGTTTGGAGAAGGTGGTGAGCGTCCTGCATGTGTTCGCCTATGAGAGCCCCGACGGCCAGAAGCAGACGCTAGTAGTGGATGTGGTGGCCAATGGAGGACATACGTGGGTCAAATCCATCGGGCGCAAGGCGGAGGCGCTGCACAATATCTGGCAAGGCCGTGGGCAGTATGGGGATAAAAGCGTCATTCGGCAAGCGGAAGATTTTCTTGAGGCAAGTCGGCAGCAGCCGGTGCAGTACAGCAACCCTCACATTATATTTGCCTTCTATAATGGTGTTTCCAGCCCGATGGCAGACAAGCTCAAAGAAATGGGCATTTCGGTGAGAGGCGACATCGTTGCTGTTAACACGATTGAAGGTGGAGAAGAGGAAGATGAAGAAGACCAGGAGGGAGATCACGAAGATCTGGTTGAGGAAGAAGAGGATGGTGAAGATGATAATGATGATGACAGCGATGATACAGACCTCACGCACACTCGAGTCGATCGAGACACCATTGTGGCCAGTCTTGCCTTCCCTACCGAGGTGAAAGTGGACGTGTGCAATAGGGTGAACCTCGACATCACCACACTGATCACATACGTGTCTTCTCTGAGCCACGGCAACTGCCACTTCACTTTTAAAGAGGTGGTTTTGACGGAGCAGGCCGCACAAGAACGGCAAGAGAAAGTCCTGCCACGGCTGGAGGAGTTCATGAAGGGAAAAGAGCTGTTTGCTTGTCAGTCTGCGGTGGAGGATTTTCGTGTGATTCTGGACACTTTAGGGGGCCCGGGAGAGAAATCCCGAGCGGAGGAGCTTCTGGCGAGGCTCAAAGTTGTTCCGGATCAACCGTCTGAGCGCACTCAGCGATTGGTCATGAGCTCGAAGGTGAATCGCAGATCGCTGATGATCTTTGGGACAGGGGACACGCTGCGGGCCATCACCATGACCGCTAATAGTGGATTCGTTCGAGCTGCTGCTAATCAGGGTGTGCGCTTCAGCGTGTTCATCCACCAACCTCGCGCTCTCACTGAGGGGAAAGAATGGAGAGCCACTCCTATTTGACTAAAGACATACGTCAGCATTTAGTGTTTAAGGTTATGTCGTATTAGAGATGTGCGTATATGTAATCTTGCTTAAAACCAGAGGCACTACTGTATAGCAAATGTATCACACAGCTGGTTGCAGATTCAAACATTCAGCAATCTTTCTCGAAACTCCGTGAGCTCTGTGCCTCGATTTCAGCACTTCAACGCAAAGCCAGAAAAGATGTCAGATTAACCAAATGTATGATTATATACAAAAACAATAAATAAATATAAATATAGTGTCAACAACTGTTTTAAAAGAGGCATATACTTTTTTTCACAGTCATTCCCTACATGCCTCAGGGTTTGTTTTTTGTTTCACATCCATTTTCATATTTACAATAAACACTGTTCAAATTGCTTTACCTCATGAGAAAGATCTTGTTGTTATTCATTAAAGCCAAGAGAAATTGGGGTGATTGTAAAATGATACATGGAAGGCTTTCATTTACAATAACTGGTCTTTAAAACTTTCTATTCATCAAATAATCTTGAAAAATGTATTTCGGATACTAGACTGATGTCTCAATAACAGTCTTCCAAACCAGCATTATGAAATTATTTCTGAAGGATTGTGTGACACTGAAGCCAGGAGTAATAATGCGAAAATGTATGCTTTGCCATCACAGAAATTAAAATAAAATAAAATATTATAATGCAAAAAAAAATTATTATATTAAAAATATATTTATCAATATCAATTGATTTAATCAAAGCATTTCCAAATATTATTGTCATATTTTTATTTAAGGTGTGCAGCCAAAGTGTCCATAGAAGCCAATTATTCCTGACTTTCAGAAATACCAACCCTATATTTTTGATAGCTGGTATTGTTACAATGTTACACACGCATGCACCTACATAAATAAAAAAGATCAAACACCCAAAACCCAACTGTTGATAGGCTGCAAAAGTGTGCTGGGCCTTGGTCTGATACTGGTCGAAAGTGCTTTTCAAATGTTGCTTATTAATGCACCTTTATTGTGAGCTACACTTGTGTGAACTTTGGTGGAAATGAGTTCATACCCTCAAAATGACCCCAAGACATATAACTGACTAAAAATTATTTTAGAAATCCTTCAGAAAAGAGAACTGATTTGGATATAAATGTACAACTTGCATGTTTTGCAATGAATATTAGACAGAGAAATGTGTTATTCTGTTTGAGATGAGGGCAGCACGGTGACTCAGTAGTTAGCAGTGTCACCTCACAGCAAGAAGGCAGCTAGTTGGAGTCAGTTGGCATATGTGTGGAGTTTGCATGTTCTCCCAGCGTTCACATGGGTTTCCTCCGGGTCCTTTGGTTTCCCCCAAAGTCCGATATAGCTTAATTGAATAAACTAAATTGGCTGTAGTGTATGAGTGTGTATGAATGCTTCACAACACTGGATTTCAGCTGGAAGCCCTGCTGAAAAAAAAAAAAACAGTTTAAAACAACCTAGGCTGGTTGATGGATTTTAGCTGGTTGACCAGCATAGTTTTAGAGGGGTTTTGGCCATTTGCCATTGGTCATAGCTGGTCAGGCTAAAAAATGACCTATAGGGTGGTTTTACTTGGTGATCTCCCAGCCTGACCAGCTAAGGCCAGGTTGAAAATGGCTGAAACCCCTCTAAGACCAGGCTGGTTGACCAGCTAAAACAAGCCAACTAGCCTAGGCTGGTTTAAGCTGGATTTTTCAGCATGATGGCCATCCACTGTGTAAAACATATGATAAATTGGCAGTCCATTCCGCTGTGGCAATCCCTGATAAGTAAAGGAACCTAGCCAAAGGAAAATGAATCGATGAATGTTTGAGATTAACTGGTAAGTTTAAATCATGATTTAAGTACATAACAACGTGAGCAATGGAACTTCAGCTTCATACTGTTGGCTGCTCGAGCGCTTTCCTGCTAGTACAGTAGGAGACCTCTAGGCGGACAATTTTCTGGTAAAGATGACTAAAAGCAGATGCTAGATTGTGTCTACAGTAAACCCCGTCCAGTAACGTTATATGTATGGAGTCATTGTAATAATTTAAAAAGTTGCAAGACAACACTAAAACGGTTTTGTATCTTAGAAAGTAACGCAAGTCTGAGACGTAACCCATCGAGTTTCGTGGCGTTGACTAGTTTAGATATTCGCATACATTAACAACATTTCTTTCCGTTCAGAAGTAAATTCTTAGTCCGAGTGAGGAAGACCAAGCCCAGTCAGCCGAGGCTGTCAGCAGTGCTGCTCCCTTCTCTGAGTCATCATGCACTGAGCAAAACAAATCTGCCGTAGCAGCAAAGCTAACAACACCTTCAACACACCAGTGCCTGTTTATTTGGTGAGTATCTGTAAACACTTATAATACAACTTTTACTGCGCTAACACAACTCGTTTACTTGCTTAGCTGCGGATATAGCACTTAGTAGTACTCGGGCAACTCGTTTCTCTGTTAGCTACAAAGTGCTAAAACGAAATCCTCTATAAACACGGAAGTGATGTTTAACGCACTTCGTGTATTTAAATAATACAGGAAAATCACTCATGATTTTACACCCATGACCAAGTGAAGTACAACAGCTCGTACTACGTTTCATTTCGAAATAACGATAACGGATTTAGCTTGCTAGCTCATCAGCAGTCATAAGCTCTTTCTGTGAACTCTTGAATTTGTCGGGATTTCCTGTTTGAATGATGCGACTGGGGCGAAATGATAATGATTAAAATATGTTGATTAAAATAATTCACTTATGTGTAAATATTAAACCAGTTCATTGTAGTTTTCATGTAAACAGATGTACCAACGGAACAGGTGTCAAATATCACGCGCATGCAGGCTGTCGTTTAATTGTTGGGGAGTGTAGCACTTATCTGGGAGAAACGAGTCATGGACAAGTTTTGAACCTAATATTAATCACCATTCATATGTACCAGCAGCAGGAGATGCAACCTATCTTACACGAGTGTTGCTGTACGTGAACTTTTGCATTATAGTTTGTTGTGTAGTGAATGTCAATTTACATTGAAATGCTTGTAGTCAAATCAAAGCAATCCTCTGCTCTGGGCCAGTCAAGTGTCATATCTAAAAGAAGCATTCATAAGCAAGCTTGAAACTTTGTTGCTTGTACATGCTGCTAGTCTTCATGTAGCTACAGAAAAAAAACATTCTAAATCTATGAGATACAGCTTTAATATTGTCATACAGCTTTTTCTGTTATCTTTTCTAAAATCTTGTTATCAAACTCTGTTATAATAATTACAGATTTAAATTATTATAACAGACCTTGATGACAGGATTTTAGTGAAGATACATTGTATAATGTATCAATAATAAGAGAATTTGTGATGGAATTTGTAAACCCAGCACAAAAATGTGTTTTGAGCAGATTATAACTAATGTTAATAGCTCTGATTGCTCATTTTATTAAAGAAAAAATTATATCTGTAATTGCTATTGTTGAGCATAATGAGAAAAAAATGTAAATAGAAACCTTTGATGCTCTCAAATGCACAAAACGAACACAATTGCACAGAAAAAAAACTAAATCTGTTTGACCAGTATCACGTTTTAGGCATATAGGAATATTACGGTTTGATAACCTTGGATTAAAAAAAAAATCACGGTTTCACAGTATTGCTGCTCTAAAATATATGTTCTTTTTAAATGTCTGCGTAAAAAACAAACTTTTTCTACCTTTGAACAAAAATATTTTAATTAGAGAAAAATGTAAAATATTTTGGAGCAGTAAACATGTCAGGGTAAATAAAATAAAAAAAAACACAGATTTCTTTACAAATTAATGGATCTCTTTTCTGCTGGAGACAGTGTTGTCCTAAAACACTTTATACAAAACATTAAAAAAATCTTACTTTTTTCCAAAGGAACGTTATAGCAGGAAATTTTGGCAGTTTTAAAGCCTTAACTTTAACCAAACCAAACCATGGAATACCTGAATATGGTAATCGGCCCATGCCTAATCAAATTGGTGATTCCCTTGAGCTGTAAGTGAAAACTTACCTTGCTTATTGTCCCACCCTGTAGATGAAGGCTGTTACAGAATCTGCAATAAAGGGATTGAAAATTAAAATTATGTCATCATTTACTGTAATAATAGACTACTCTGTTTATCTAATGCATGTGCAGGTTTTTGATGATAGTCTCTTTTATTTATATATTTTGTAAAGTGATTTAAAAATCAAAAATTCTGTTATCATGTACTCATTCTAAGCCTGTTTGAGTTCCTTTCTTCTGTTGAACACAAAGGACGATATTCTGAAGAATGTTGAATTAAGCAGCAGCCATCCACAGTACTTTTTGTGCTCTACTATGCATGTCAGCGACCATGACGAAGGAAGAAATATAAGTGAACCACTTAAGTGTAAATAAATGGTGAAGAAACTTTTCAATTTTAGGTGAACTACTGTGTGTTAGCTATATTGTCAGAAAAAAAAAACTAAAAACAATAATTAGGGGTACAACAGCTTTTCATGCAAAAGTAACCTTAAAGTCCCAAGGAACCAGAAGCGGCAACTATTTTTATTACTATTACTTTTTTATTGTGATGCAGTTCCTAGAGAAACATAATATTAAATGAGAAAACAGTGGGCGTGGCTTTAAATTTCTACCGTATTTGAATTAATGTAGTACAGTAGGCATTTCATTCAGAAAGATCAGCAAAAGGGTTACAGGACAGTTATTACAAACTAACAGACTCCTCCTGCTCAACATTTCTGTTTGTTGTCAAAACGGACAGTTAGAGCAGCGTGATTAAATATGTTAGCAACGCTCATTTCCTAAGATATATGTAATCTGAAAATTTAACTGAAAAAAAAAAACAAACAAACAGGAAGTGCATTTTTAGATTTAAATTAAAGATTAGAAGGGCAAACTTTTTTTTTCTTATTGACGTGAACAGATGAATTGTTCAGCATAAAACTGGCAAAAAGTTAACAAAATCATATGGTTACTTTTTATTTTGGGGGGACTTTGAAGGGACACATGCTTTTTCTATTCCTAAAAGAACATAAGTAGTAGACATTTGCACTTCAGTTAATTCCATCTAGCAAGCCAGCTATTCTTAAATCATCAAAATGTTTGTTAAACTTTAGTCCTTGTACTCTGACATGCACAGGCTAACACAAAAATGTTAATTTGGAAGCAAAGCTTATCTTTTGATAAGGTGCTTTCTTGCATATTTCCTCTGACCTTGACATCTGCATGAATTAACAAAAGACCTTTTCATCAGCACTGTCCTCAAATATTCATCAACCAGTTTAAAACTGCAGTCTTTGGTTCAAAATTAATTACTCCTATCTTCATGTAACTACTTAGATTGCAAACCTGCAACATTCTCTTCTATTATGAAAATGAGCCCAAGGCCTCAAACAAAAGCCCACCGAGACACATCAGTGCCCACTCAATCAAGTGCTCATTTCAATTTTATCACATTCTTTATACTAACAAACTTGTCAATGTGGCGTCAATCACGTGCAGTCGTTCAACTGTGCTGCATAATGTAGATCACCATTACCCACACCCTTTGCATATACACCACAGACGAGCTGTGTAAACTGAGTATACCTAAAACAACTGCTGTTGTTAGCAGTCTGCGCTTGAGCCAACAGCAGTAAGCCTATATTATTGTGTGACTCCACCAGGATTTTTGTGTATAGTGATTACATTAGTAAGACTGCACATGACATATGGTCTCACAATCAGGGGTGAGTTTCCCAAACAACGACGCAACTCGCAGCTGAACTATCATGGTATGATGCATTGTTTTGGGAAAAGAACGATGTAGTGACGAGTGTTTCCCAAAACGCATAGTTTCTCGGTCGCAGATCCATCGCTTGAACCGCGTCAGTTATAAAGTAAAACGCCCATAATGATGCTCTAAACTGGGTGGAGTAACAACTTCTTTATAGAGGAACCCCATCATTTCTTTGTGCAAATTATATTATTTTACACAAACACGCATTTAAAATAAAATCCAGTAATAGATTTGGTAAAAACATGCTCTCACTTTTCATATTAATTGAAATATATGGCACAAATAGGGCCTGTTTGCTTTACAAGTATTATTGAGAATGACATGTCATATTCTAAAACATAAAATTACTTACAAAAGCTAACACGTGTTCTAATATCATATATAAATCATATAAATAAATAAACAATGAGGCTATTTATTAGGAAATAAAATGTATTAATTATGTATTATAAATGAAAAATAATATTAATAGTATTAATGATGATGATGATGATTATTGTTGTTGTTGTCGTTATTATTATGTAGGATATTGTTTATTTATTTATATTTTTAAAAGTCTACTTTTGCAATTTGACACATGTAAACCACAGCAGAAAGTTCTAACCAGCAGGCCCATGTCATATACTGTACAGATACTTAATAAACAACCTACAATAAATGAAAATAATTAACTTATGCTTTTTGTTTTCACAAGCTTTGGAGACGTAATAAAAATTACGCTTTTAAATAATAGGTCACCTATAGCTTTCGCCAAGAGGTTGTGTTCTAAATGACATCAATGTTTTGAAAGTGCACAGCGAAGGGAGCACAATTGTAAACATGAAGATCGCTAAAACTGAATTTTAAAAATAGTTAGAAAGCAAATTACACCTAAGAGAGATGACTTTAAAGCTTTTTTAATTTTCATAATTCCAACTTTAAATGGAATGTTGCGAATGTTTGTTGGAGCGACGGATTTGGGAAACAGCAAATCAACAAACTATGTTTGTAACAACGGAACTTGCAACGTTAGTTGGCTAACAATGGTGTTGGGAAACGCACTTATTTGTTTGTTGTTAAAGTTAGGACTGGATTTACATTCATTCAGAAATATATTTTAATATTTAATTTCTTTTAAACCTTACTAAATTCTTTTACTTAACAGATTCTCAGTTAAAATTGGGGTTTGATTTACATAAAATCAATGTACATTAACTCACCTATTATATGGTTCTAATCCAAATCCATGACTGACTTTTTGAATATATTTTGAGACATGTCTTTTTCTTCTTGTCCTTACAATGGAAGTCAATGGATAGCCAGTTTTAATGGCTATCTATACTACATGGTTATATATGGAAATCATACATGTAAGGAACAACATTAAATGGAAAACGATGATGGTAATCGTATATAATATGAACTATTGACGCTCTTTAAAAAGAAATTAGGAGTTTGAGTGTGTGTTTTTCCCTTGCTTGAGTGAGCAATGATGTCAGTATCAGTTAGGAAGGGAACCGACAAACGCTACGCTAGCCTTCATGAGAAGCCGCATTGTCTTAGCATTTTCTCAAGAGCCAGAAAGAAAGTAGGCCTGTGTTATCATCATTACATGCAGAGTGACTACTGATGGGAACAGAAGAAAGCTGATTATTTATAAGTAACTGCTCAAACACGTTTAACTGGCTTAAAAGGCTGCAGGGATATTATTAATGAATTATGGCTAAATTACCAGTTTCAATGAGTGAATTACTAGTCTTATGTAGTTAAAACAGCAATAACATGTGCTTTCTTGTTCTAGGGCTCACCTAATACCCATCTACCTCTGACCTTACTTCAATACACTGCCATTGTCTCGCTGCTTGAAGCCATGGCTGCCAACAGGAACGCTTTGGCTCTTCACAAAGTGATAATGGTGGGAAGTGGCGGTGTGGGCAAGTCCGCCTTAACTCTGCAGTTTATGTATGACGAGGTAAGATGGATGTCACGTCATGGTAAAATGCACATTACCCGTGTAAGACAATAATTATGTTGACCTCTTTCAAGTTTGTGGAGGACTACGAGCCCACTAAAGCTGACAGCTACAGAAAAAAGGTGGTTCTGGATGGAGAGGAGGTGCAAATTGACATCCTGGACACGGCGGGACAGGAGGACTATGCTGCAATTCGGGACAACTACTTCCGCAGCGGGGAGGGATTTCTCTGCGTGTTCTCCATCACAGAATCTGAATCCTTCGCTGCTACAGCAGATTTCAGGTTGAGATGACACTGAAATATTGATCAATTCTTGTGTTATTGAATGTTCATGCTGTAAATGCATTCTTATTTATTACTACATTTTAGAGAACAGATACTTCGGGTTAAAGAAGAGGAGAATGTACCTTTCCTTCTGGTGGGAAATAAATCAGACTTGGAGGACCGAAGACAAGTTGGTTTGGAGGAGGCCAAGGCCAGAGCGGAGCAGTGGGGAGTCAGCTACGTAGAGACTTCTGCCAAAACCCGTGCCAACGTAGATAAGGTAGGCCTTCACAGCCATTACATGCAATAATTATGGGACAGTTCACCAAAAAATCAAACCTAAGGGTATGTTCACTCTTGTTGAAACAATACATTTTGTCCTTGTTCACTTAGCATGCACAGTCGTTTGTTTTTTTTTTTTTTTTTAAATAGACCCTGTATTTTTGGCATGTATTTTCTGACAACTTAAAGAATATATGCAAATAATGCTAGGTAAAACACACTTGTGTGTGTACATAAAATTGAACCAATTTATTTACCAGTTCAGATCTTATAAAGAACTTAGAAAAAAAGTCAAAATAATTGCAAGAAAATACTTTGTTAGATGAAGATCTACTGCAACAAGCACATCTACGTTGAAAGGTTACAAGTCATGATAAGTCAAATAAGTCATGATTCATACAAAATGTATTCTTAAACAATACCACATATATGCAACTAAAAAACAAAAATCTGCTCTCTGTTAAACAGAAATTTGGGGGAAAAAAATGAACTAGGGTGAATACATCAGGGGGGCTAATAATTCTGACTTTATGAAGAGCCCTAAATATAATTTGATTCACAGTGTGAGCGAAAAGTAACATGAAATGAAAAAATTCTAATACAATATGAATTGAATTATTACGTTTGACGGTTGTCAAATTAATGAAATAACTTACCAAACTAACTGCATTCATCATCAGGAGGTGGTACAAATCACTCCCGTAGGAGAATTTTGGCTTTTACAATCCAAAATAAAATAATCCAACGTCAGCGCGTGAAAGTTCCGCCCCTTCCGCTACATGAGCAAAGCTGCGACCGTCGAGTGCATGAAGTGACCAACATTTCACACTTAATTTTATCTGTTAAATAAGTGCATCATCTGGGTATTTAATATGCACTTAATATTTTTGGAATAAAAAGAATATTTCAGTGTGAATGCACTACATACACTATTTATATTACAAGATGGCGTAGAATAGCGCACAAGTAAGCAATTTAAGATGCACCTCATATACTTGGAGGCCTGGCTTTCTTTGCATTTTGTTTCAGTGGCATTTTGAAGAAAGCCCTTATATGGAGCTGGTTTAGGCGTGTATTATGCAAATGTGGATGCGCAGTTAGACACACAAATTCACTAACAAAAGAACAAGTTTAAGAATAAGCTCATGTGCGTGTACACACGTTTTGAATTAGATTTAGTGTATGTATGTTTTGAAGCATGTTTAAGTGGACAATTATTTCGTTGACAAAAGGTTTCAACAGGCAGCATTTATGTAAAATAAGAATTTTTAAATCAATTATAATATATAAAAAACTGGATCATATTGTTATCTTATATAGACAAAAAACATTCTTCATAATAGGGTTGTGTAATTAATCGCAATCGAATAGCAATCATAATTTGAAATGTTGTGATTAGCTAATTGCAAGAGGCTGTGAAATGAAATATATTTGTATTATTTAATTTTCCCCGCCTAGAACAAATGCGTGACTGTCGTCTGTGTGTGATAGTCTCACTAGCCAATTGAGTGAGCACACTTTTGTTCTTCCCAATCAGAATTGCGCAACCAAACTATGCAGAACAGCCACAATAAATAAAAAAACACACACACACAAAAAAAGTGCGGACAATTGAAATAATGGCCTCTGCTGCATCAGAAGCATTAATAGACAAATTAATATCTAAGAAAAGAAAAGCATAGGTAATATGGGCAAATTTTGGTTTCAAAGTCACAGACCCAGAACAAAAACAGGTCATTTTTTTAAGAGATGTCGCAGAATTGTTGCCACTGCCTACAGGTTATTGACCTGAAGTTTGACTATATAATTAAATCGCAAATCTAATCAAAATCGCAATATGTGTCAGTAAAATCTCAATTAGATATTTTCCCCAAACCCACAGCCCTACTTCAAGATATACTTTTGTTCCCCACAGGAGGTGGTCACAGAATGTTACATTAAAATACTACATTAGGGACTATAAAACAAATTATTGACATTTTTGTGTGAACTATAACTTTGCACAAGAAATAATTTAATATCAGGGGAACTATATAATGATGCATCATACAAACTTGTTAATGTCTCCAGGTGTTTTTTGATCTCATGCGTGAGATCAGAGCCAGAAAAATGGAAGACGGCAAAGAGAAAAATGGAAAAAAGAAGAGGAAAAGTTTGGCAACGAGGATTCGAGAAAGATGTTGCATTTTATAATGACTGGATCATGCAATATCGCTGACATCTCTACCCTTTCACTGCTTCCAAAAAACCCATCAGGTTTCATCCCTCTTCAGACAAATGCTGAAGATCATCTCCTACAAACACATCTCTCCATTTCCTCCGGTTGTTTTTCTCAATGGGTATAAAAGGGCAAAACTTCAGATATGCATTAAATAACAAATAATGTCAAAGGTCTGACATATCAGATACAACATTTCATTTCCCAACTCTCTGTAATAGACTGTTAGATTGTGTTCACTCTTTAGTTGCTTTTAGTTAAATGTGCTAAACTTTAACACTGTAAGAACAAAATACTACTCCAAGCTGTTTGCTTTTGAGTTCATGGTGTGTTGACATTTAACCTCCTGTTGTTAAACTAACTAAAGTAAAGCCTAAATAAGATTAATCTAAAATTTAAAGGTAAACTGCACAGATGCATTTAGGATATCGTTTAAAAGTATACATTTCTTCCAAAAATGGGCACTGAAGCAAATGCACAAATTATTAAATGAATTACTAAATATTGATCTTAATTTATCACTTTACCATTTTTAACACTAAAAATGATAACTCATTCCTTCAGCAATGCTAAATATTTTATATATTTCCAAGTTTGTCCTTTTACCAAAACCTTTCCAACATGCTTAGCTATAACATCCTGTTCATTTCAGAGAAGCTGGCACTTTTATTTCAGTTGAATAATTGTAGTGTAACAGTATATAAAACCTGTTTTAAATGTGATATATTATGACCCAATCTCTCCTTGAATACACATACATTAACTATTTGTAGTCAAAGGGCTTATTCACTTCTATTTGTGTGTGGCAGCAGATTTGGAGTTTTGGTTTTGTGCTATCTAGGGGTCCCAAATAACACATGAATATTTCTAAAAAGCGTCATCTTGCTTGAGTCAAATGTACTGTGAAAAACAGGTTGGAATGTTTTATTACACAGACTGAATTGTGTACTTTATTATAACTTATTGAAATTTTATTGTAACTTATCCAGTGTAATTAGATTTTCTATTGTACATTTTAGTTCATTTAGGGTGAATGAGGAAATAAATACTCTAAAAGGGCTGGAAAGGATCTGTGTTTCAAACTGCAGGTCTTTGCGGCTACTCTGTGGATATGAGAATACTCACCCTTTTATGAATGGTTTTGAATAAGCACATCCATGTGGAAGTAACTGTTGAGCTTGACAGTTTATTGCCATATTATTCTGGCATCTACCAAACAATTTCTCTTTCATTTTGCAGCTAAAATGTTTAACTCTGCTGTTTTTAATCCAAATATATGTTACCTGTGAAATATGCAAGATTTTCCTCTTATTTTATCACTAACAGTCAGTTATCATCCCTAAAAAGCTGTATTTGTGTGGTAAGCTAAGCGTGGGGCAATGATGCTGAAATATCAACAGCTGATGCCTCATTACTCTTGACTGACTTTGAGTGCTAAAAAAGCAAGTCATTTTTATATAAACCTCTTTCTTGTACACTTAGTCTAAATGTCTTCATTTTAATCTGTATTTGGAACGCCTCTTGGCAAACGCTGAGTTTTCAGATGTTCGAAAGGTGTAAAGCCAAATTATAGAAGGATGTTCAAAATATCGAGGAGGCAACAAATGCTGGGGCCACTGATGTGATGTAATGTATTATTACAACAGATAGTGTGGTGATACAAGTGTCCAGTGAAAGATGCAAACTGAACTTCAGTGTAAAATGTTGTTTCTGTTACATTAATAAAATCTATTTTTGTAGACCTCTAATATGAGATTCGTATGTTATATCCTACACTGTAAAACCCAACAGTCTGCTTTATCAAATGAAATGAGTGTAGTTAACTCAAAATTGACTGAAAGTTAATTCTGCTCATTTGAAAAGAGTTTTGAACTCTGTGTTGAAGGTAATGAGGTAATGAAAGACCTCATTACTTCAACTTAAATGGAGTAAGTTCACAGTACTCGTATAGATTAGTTTTTATTTTTACTCAAATAGTTTGTAGCAACTGTTTCCTCCAACAGTTTAAGTTGCCTTGACTTATTGGGTTTTACAGTACTCAGTTGGTTTAAGTTCTCTTTATATATTGGGTTTAACTGTGGTTAAATTGCTTTGTTTACTCAAATGGATTAAGTTCACAGTACTCATTAGGATCAGCTTTTGAACTTAAATGGTTTGTTGCAATCTGTTTCCTCAAATGGTTTGAGTTACCTTCACTTACTGGGTTTTACAGTGTGAAGCAAAAAGAGTCCAATGCCTACAGAAAAAAATAAAGCCTAAATGTGTGCAGTAATAAATGTATTGGTGATTAATCTACATGACCTTTGAAAATGAACTGTAATATTAACTATGTTTTATTAAACATAAATAATATTAAACATGTTTTGGTAAATAAACAGTGACATTTCCACCTCCAATATATTTTTTGACAAGGACTACATTACAAACTTAAGTTAAATTAAGTTTATAATCCAACAATTGTCCTATCTGGACATTTTATGATGACAAAGTCTTTTATAAGTCCATGTTTACATATGTATATTACTTTTTTTAACAGAAAAAAATATCAGATTGTAATAAAACCAAAAGCGTCACCGAAAATAAAAAATACAAAAATGAGTCCATAGAAAATTTTGAAAGGAGCCAAGCCTACGAATACTTGACCTGATCTGTTCTAGTTAACTGCACACCATCAATATGGAGAGGTAGATAGACGTGTTGATCAGACATCTTAGTTAGACTGCATTTTGAGATTGAAGACGTATTCCTCTGATTTCAACAACATGTTTGCAAACTCCATGGGAGAGGCGGCAAACTACTTTAAATAGGCTGCTGGTTACAAAAGCACATCATTTCTATGCTCCTGCTGTTGAGGTGTTGCTATGTTTATACAAGAAAGTACATATGACTTTTAAAATGTCAAGACTTATTGCTGGTGAATCCTGCCTCAGGTCCTTGAGTTCGGCTGGCTCCGTTTGACTTTTAAAAAATTTAGCGCACTCTCTGGTGCACTAAATTAAAAGGACTGTTCAGTGGCTTTCCCTGAAGTTAGAGAAATGCACTGATGGGGTTTAATTGTAGTACCTCCCTTGTCTGCTTGTATCGCTTTGTTTGGAGGTTTTAGACTGAGTTTGTGTGACCGAGATAGGCTGAAGGTCAGCCCATGGATCTTGGAGCATTGAAGGTTTGTAATACTTTTCCATATCATTTGTCCCTCTATCCCTGCCATGCGCTGAACCAAATGGTGTGGATGTCCGCGGTGAACCCTTAAGGAGAAAATTGTTATGCAAAAAGGCATTAAAAGTCTATAGTTAACCAGATATTGTATTGCACTGTCGCATCCAATAGAAAATAAATTAATTCGGAGCAACAAAACACTACTTTTTCCTGCTGGGGGGCAAAAAATATCAGCTAACACCAACCTTGGTCGAGACGGTTTTTTGATTGTCTCTAAACTTGGTCATAGCAGGCATTTAAGATGTTTGACCACGTTTTAGCAAGTTGTTTTAAGTTAAACAAAGCTAAAGTTAAATCAAATGAAAAGGCTGAGCTAAAACCCAAGATGTTTGCTGGTTTAATGTTTAGTCAGGAAGTAGTTGGTTTAAAATCCTCTAAGCGCAGCTAAAATGGACAGTTTACCCAAAAATGAAACTTCTGTCATCATTTATAAACCCTTGACTTGTTCCAAACAGTTGAGTTAATTAGGGATAGATATATTAAACACCGCTGGGAAACAGTAACTTAATGACTTCCATAGTAGTTGTAATAAAATGCTATAAAGATGATTGAATACAGGTTAACATTTTAATATATTTAATTTTGTTTTTAACAGTACAATAAATCAATCAAAAAATGGTTTGAATAAGTAAATGATGGGTAAATGGTAGAATTTTCATCAAGTAGACAAAACCGCTCGTAAACAAGCCATGACCAGGTTTGGAGACCCCTAAAACCGACTTAAATAAAGGTTGGTGTTTGATGTTTTTTTTGTCAGCAGAGTTGACCGAAGAAGCCAAATTACAATACATAAATATGTTTAAGTCCGTGCATTATTATAACACGGACCTGAACGCGAGTAAACTACCTGATATCCAGAGTGTCTTCCGGGGCTCTCGTACGGCGAGCGTCTGAACGGCGCGCCGCGGGGACTGGGGTTCGCTCTGCGCGGTGTGTGACCCGGAGACTGATCGTTAAAATATTTCCCACCGCCGCCGCTGCTGCTCCTATTACCCCCATACTCTCTCGGTGGGGTATTGGGAGAACACTGACCAAACCTCGGCCCAAACGGCGGCGGTGGGGTTGAATAAGCCCACGGAGGCGATGGAAACATACTCCCTGTCCTGTCGAAGGCTGGTGGAGGGCTGCGAAAACCTGCTGGCCGGGGACCCGAGCCCGGACGGGGATGGCGAAACTGTGGTCTCTGCATTGTGTCGAGGTATCTTCCAACACTGACTTTTAAACCACAACAGACGACTTTATATACAGCCTGACAAAACTCGTTTTCATTTAGCACAACAAAACTGGTCGACCCGGAACAAGAGTCTTTTCTCGGCGATTAGCATTTGAATGCATCCAACTTGAATGACTCGATACTGCCGCCTGTTTTCACGGCGTGTTAAGAGCCCATACCTCCATACCTGTGCAGATGTGAAGTTTTGGTGTAGCTTTATCAAAACAAACTTTTAAAACAGACGGTTCATTCATTCATGCAAAAGTGCTCGGTTCTACCCAATACCTTCATGTTGTCTCAACACAAATAGATTAAGTTAACTTAATCATTTTTAAACATTTCAGTGGATTGAGCATAAAACAATTAAGTTGTGCCAAAAAAGAGAGAATTTTGTTGATTCATCCTTTTCAAATGAGCAGTTTAAACAAGCTCCAAAATTATTCTTTTGAGTGTACATACATACACATAAACCAGACTCATAGCCAGGGGGTGTTCGGGAGATTTGAAAGACCCACCCCTCACTGACAAAAGTCTAATTTGTCCCATTGATGAGCTCATTTGTCCTATTTTGAATGCTATGCCATCATAAATGGTAAAAAATAACCCATCAAAAAGGCTTTAAGACCAAGCAGAATCTTCCTCAGGTAATCAGTTTTGGCCAAATTAATGCAAACAATTATTTTTTTTATGACTCCAACATCCAGCTGTGCAAGAAAACATCTGACATAAAAGAAGTCATCTTGAGCTACTTAATTGTTTTTAAATAGAAGACATTTGACAAGTAACTTTTATTCAAAATCTTGGACCTTATTCTTGAAAGAAAACATGACCAATAAAATAGTATGAAGCTCCAAAAGCAGCTCATATTAAAATGATTTGTAAACTAATTTGGCTATTGTTGTTATCTGTGAATTTTCAAATGTACTTTTTTTTTCCATCAATCATTATTAATATTATTATTATTATTTTTTATCATTACTATTATTATCATCATTGTTATTACTACTACTATTATTGTTATTATTATTATTATTATTATTTGAATTTTTTTTTTTTTCAAATGGCCAAATTCTGACTGAGGAATGTGCTGGCCAGTTTGTTATTCACCTCATAAATTACAATAGGCTACAGTTTTTTCTAATGACATATGATGTAATAAATTTGTGTTTAAGTATTTAGGAAATATTTTGGTATATCAGAAAGTGTGGTTATGATGACCATCCAACAAGCTAATTCAGCTAAAAATAGTGCTTAAAATGTCACCTAAATTCAGTATTCAAATCTTTTAATTAAAAAAAAAAATGAGGCAATTAACTGCAAAAAGGTCCAGGTTGAGAAAAAACTACTCTTTTCAACAGGCTGGCTATGGGCCTGTAAACACATATTGCAGTGTCCTGTTGACTGCACAATACATTTCTTTCTTCTTTTTTTTCGGACTCACTAAAAAGTTTTTCAGTGTAATAATTAATATAACAAATACATTTTGTCAGATATATTTGTATAAACCATTTCAAAATAAAAATAGCTCTAATTTAAGGATCACAGTGCAACCGTGAAATTATAATTAATTGGCATTTTAAGAAGTTTAATTTATCATTATCCTTAAAAACAAGTTTTATTCATTTGTCAGCAGGATGGTTTTGATCATTTAAAATAGATGCAAATAAAATTATTTTATAAATTGTAAATTTAGTCTGATGCCATCTTTCTTTAGTTACATATAAAATAATCAACTGAAGTTCAGTTTGAAATAACAAAAGCTTTATTTTAATAGTCCTGCATAAAATGTAAAACTTCAGGGGTAATTGTACAGTATTTGTGAAATATTCAGACACTGAAATATCTTGCTTATCGGAAAATTCTGCCATCATTTACCCCCCCTTCTCTTATTCCAAATTTATTTGAGTTTCTTTTTTCTGTTGAACACACATAATATTTTTAAGAAAGGCTGTAAACAACCGACTTCCATAGTTTGTTTTTTGCTATTCTGGAAGTCAATTATTACAGCTTTCTTCAAAAAAATTTTTAATGCTCAACAGAAGAAAGAAAGTCACAGCGTTTTAAATCTCTTTAGGGTAAGAAAATAGTGAGTATTTTTTGGGTGAAATATCCCTTTAAATTACACTGTAAATTAAATAAAAAGTGTCCCAAAAATTCCCAGTTATCCCATTTAGTTGATGCTTCTCTTAAGCTGTCACTAGAGGTCAGTATTACCACTACTTTCTACAAGGAACACCTTCATACACAGTTCTGCACAGTCCTGAGCAATAAACTGATTAATACATTTGAAGTGGATAAACAAATCTGTGCTGTAAAATA